TATATATATATATATATATATACAGTATATATTAATAAGTACAGGTCAGAATAAGTATATTATTTCATTTTTACATAAATAAATCTGTTACTCTGAATGACGATGGAACATTATTTCATGCATATTTCGATTTTTTTTTTTTCCACAAAAGTTATTTGCAAAAGTTATAAACATTAAAGTAGACACTTTCCTTGCATTTAATATGCTTTCTATGTATATAAAATACTTTTGTAAATTAAATTTTATGTGAACATCAAAATGGGACGTCTCATCTTTGACCCGCATACAACTCTATAAACGAATCTTTAAATGCGCTTGTGATAAAATTGTGGCTCCATCTCTTAAAAGAAGTCCTTCAAATTGTCCTGATAAAAATGGTTGTCTCAACTTTTGTACATGACAACCTTTCTAAAATATTATCACTGCTAAACGAACACCAGTTAATGTTCATATTATAAAGATCACAGCAATAATCATATAATGATAGATTTGAAAAATGATCCCTGATGGAGAAATGCAGCACATACTGATGTGGCATGGGTTGTTGAACTCTTTGTTGAGTGTATGAACGTGTGTCGTCTGTTCCTCTCAGTTCAGTATTAAATCCGAGATGAACTCTACCTCTGTCGCTCTTTCTCACCCGCGTCCCGTGAATGTGTGTTTAACTCTTAGCTTGCCTTCTCTCTCTCCCGCCTGCAGTTTGCCTCCTCAGGGCTGTTCACTGTGTGGCTCTTGTGGTTTCTGATCTAGTGGCCTTTCTCAGCTTCCATACAGACCCCTTCTCCCCTATGATAACTCCCTCCTGCCTTAGAGGTGAGCTCGGGTTCACCGTCCAACCCGTATCCATGGTCACGAGGTCACGAGGTCATCGTTCATGTCATCGTGCTGTGGCTCTTCAGGGCATTTTCATACTAGAACAAACATTAAGACGATTAGAAGCTTTTGCTTTTGTGAAAAGAGACCAGCAGTGTGTTGTTTTAGTATTATTTTTTATAGTTTTATAGTATTTATTAATATTTAAAATTAGCTTTTACTTTTTATTTTCAATTTTAATTTTAGTTTAGGTATTTTTATGTGCTTCTGTCACTTTTATTAGCTTTTAAAAATATATTTCTATTTAGCTTTAATTTATTTTTATTCTAGATTAAGTTTTGGTAATATTTTTGGTGTATTCTGAATGATAATGTGAAAAGAACAGTATTATTTTTAATTTTTATTTACTTTTTATTAATATTTTTGAATTTGCTTTTATTTTTATACTTTCAATTTTAGATTAGGTTTCAGTAAATTCAGAAATGTTTTTCTTAGTTCTATATATATATATATATATATATATATATAAATATTTCTGTTTAGCTTTATTTTTATTCCAGTTTTAGTTATGTTTTTGGGGTCTTCTCTTGAATGTGAAAATAGGCTGATGTTGAGAAGGAAAGTTTTTTATTATTATTATTATTATTTTATTTATTTGTTTATTTTATTATTATATTACTTTTATAGTATTTATTAATAGATTGAATTAGCTTTTATTTTTGTTATTTTAGGTTTTGTTATGTGCTTTTGTCAGTTTTTATTTTTATTTTAATTTTAATTTGAGTTCTAATAATGTTAGTACTTCAACTTCATATTTCAGATAGTTGCCAAGGCAGCATTTCTAATTTTTGTTTAAGACATTTAGGTTTACGTTTTTTTATTCATGTAATATTTAGATTTTATTTCATTTCAGATTGATTTCAATGACCAAAACTGATTTTTAACAGTTTTAGTTTTGTTAATATAACAACACTGGAAGTGAATCGAGTTCTGGTTCAGACCAAACAATGTAAAACAAGTGTGAAAACAGCTTTCATGTCGCAGGACTCACGTTCATCCATTCTCACTCACCTCTGTCTGTCTGTCGATGGCTCTTTTCTGTCTTCAGATGAAGCCCTGATGTCTGTTTCTCTCCCTCAGGATGATATGCACAGAGTTATCGATCAACAACTGATGGATAAACACCAGGAGGAGTGGAAGGATCCTCCGTACTCCTTCAGCGGGTCACGAGGAGGAGCTCCATCCAGACGAGCGCATCGCCTCTCGGACGGAGACAAGCGCCTCTTTTCATTCTTCAAGAAGAACTGAGATTATCTGAAGACATGGAGGAAGAGAGTGTGAGAACAGACGTGAGAGAAGGGTACAACAAACGACAGAAAGAAAGTCAAAATCACCAGATCAGTGGTTCTCAACTGGTTTTGCTCATCAAAAGACAGCATTATTTATTGTACAAAATTAACAAAAATATCTTTAAAATCAAACACTGAAATGCATTAATTGGTTACATTGATGCGCTCACAAAAATATTTAGATCTAAATTTAGATTTATGTGTTTGAATTGCACATAAAATTTCCATCCATTTGGATTACACAGTATTAGCATAAAAAACTTAATGTGATGCAAATTTGTCAGTCAGACGTAAATGAAACCGGTCAGATTTCAGTAATAGTACTAATGAACTGAATGCATTTTAAATACACAATAACCAGGTTTATATATGTCTCATTAATTAATCAAAAAATTAGTACAATTTAACTAATTGAATATTTTCTTGTTCCACAGCTAGCCATATTTTAACTATTTTCATTCATTTTAACTGAATTGTTTTCACAATAAACAGATTTGTGCTGATTCTAAGCAATTTGAATAAACACATTTTAAAAATTATTTTAATAAAATATATATTTTTTTTTAATCTGATCTTTAATTTTCCTCTTTCTCTGTTTCCTTTATGCAAGACTGACAAATATGCACTAAATCAAGTTCATTAGTTTGTTTTTGTTAAAACTCCAATTGGAGTAAATCCATTTAAATGTATAAACCTGGTTACTGTGTTTTTAAAACACATTCAGTTTATTAATACTATTACAGAAATCTTACCTGTTTCTTATCGGCTTCATTTGTGTTTGACTGACAAATATGCATTGCATTTATTACATTATTGCATTAAGGTTATTAATTTATGTTAAAACTGTGTAATCCAAACAGATTGAAATTTTATGCAATTAATGCAAATACATAAATCTTAGGCATAAATATTTTGGTAACACCAAGTCTTTATATATAATGCATTATTAAAGTAGTTTGAATGCATTAATTATGCCTTGCAATGCACCTTATAATGCATTGCATGATCTCATGAATAATTGTAACCACAGTTACAGTATAATACATTATCATACTTCTCTATTCATTGTTACACCTTCAGAGAGTAAAATGCATTAAAATATGACAAACCTTCAAATATCACAATGCATTTTAACTTTGCTTGCAATTATTTTTGAAAAGATAGAATGTATTACAACGTACATTATGAATACCTTTATAATGCATTATACATAAAGGTTAAAATTTGAAAAAGTGTTACCGTTTTTTTTTTTTTTTAAATAATGCATCAATGGTTTTATGCTCTCAGCACCCAATAATTGACTGTAAAACCACTTATTTTTGGGTCACGAGCCACTGGTTGAGAACCACGGCACTGACAAACCGAGTTCTCTGATGGCTTTGAGCCATTTTGCACTTTATCTGTACCCACAATCCTCCCTCAGAAAGCTTTAGGAGTGGAACACAAATCTTGAGACACGGTCGTCGTCCGATAGGGTGAAGCCATGTGTCAGGGTCTGTTCAACAGGGTTCCCAGAACCCTGGGTTCTCCAGTCCTATCAGAAGTCTGTTTCCCCTGCGAGTGCCTCGAAAAGCTTCTCCTCACCTCACTGCCAGAGATTCACGGAGGCACATCCGCTCACCGACCAATCACGGCATTCGCTAGAGACTCAACTCAGGATGAACTGGACTTCAGACGGTTCAGGACAAAGGTTTCAGCATCACGATGTAGTTTCAGGCCCAGGCAGAATCTGTGGACGTCTTTTGCATTTTATGTGTGCTGATTTATGAGAGTAATATGAGAGTACTGCAGTATTATTGAAAATATGAAGGGCGTAGCACGACGTGAATGTCATAAATCGGCCTAAATTTTCGGACACAGATTGGGTGTGGGCCTGATTATAGATAATGTTTGAACGCTGCAACATTAAAATCAAAAACAGCTACAGACGTTCTGCTCTTTGGTTCATTCACAGAGGCATTTTAGATTAAAAAACAACTTTTTAACAACCACATGAATATTATATAAAATTAACTTTCAGCAGCTGCTTAGAATCAAAAACTTATAAAAGCACGCAACATATACAAATAATAATGCAACAAGAAATTGTTAGCGTAAATGCGTTGTGGCTGGTTTATCAAATGTACCTGCTTGTTTTTTAGCACATTTCTGGAGAAAATGTTCTCAGGACTGCTTGATAACAAACTTCAGACCGTGTGCGTCACAGTTTGACGCCAATGAACCAAAGAGCAGAAGTGTTGAGTTGGAACTTGTAGACTGCGTCTGAAAAACTATACACACATACAAGCAGTATAAATCAGAGAGAAACACCAAACTAAAGACACCATTAGATGATACTCACCGTTAGAAAATCTCAATCCTCTGAGATGCACTGAAACTGCGGCTGTGTTCAGAATGAAATACTAGTGTTCTGCCTACTGCGCAGTATACACACACACTGTTTTTTAAAAGACAAATAATGTGCCACTGTATGCAGAATGTAACATACACTCTAAAAAATGCTGGGTTAAAAAGGGACAAACCCAGCTATTGGGTTGTTTTGAACCCAACCGCTGGGTCAAAACACCCAATAGCTGTGTCAAAACAACCCAACCGCTGGGTCAAAACAACCCAACCGCTGGGTCAAAACAACCCAACCGCTGGGTCAAAACAACCCAACCGCTGGGTCAAAACAACCCAACCGCTGGGTCAAAACAACCCAATCGCTGGGTCAAAACAACCCAACCGCTGGGTCAAAACAACCCAATAGCTGGGTCAAAACAACCCAATAGCTGGGTCAAAACAACCCAATAGCTGGTTCAAAACAACCCAATAGCTGGGTCAAAACACCCAATAGCTGTGTCAAAACAACCCAATAGCTGAGTTTGTCCTTTTTTAACCCAGCATTTTTTTAGTGTAGTAGCCACCAAAAATTCAAATTGAATTTTTTTTAAATTCATTAAAAAAAAAAAAAAAAAGATTGTCAAACATATGTCACTACACTGAGAAAAGTCTGTAAAAATAAGGTACTGTGTTAATAGGCCAGAATTTTCCCTGTTGATTTACCCATATCTTGAATTATACATTGCATTGTGTTGTACTTCAGGGTTAAAGAAAATGTCTGTGAACTTAACAGATAACGTCCTGGCAGAACATCACCAGTACCTTTTCCCACTTTTTTACAGATTTTTTTTCTTACGGTGTAGAAATGTTAAATAGTTGATATTACTTCTGTTTCATTTGTCGCACAGTAAATGGAAGGTCAAGTCAAGTGCATTGTAGGACAACATATTCAATACAGAGTGCTGTATATCTTTGGTAACTGAAATAGCTCATGCATACAAAAAATACTGCAGGCATAATATGACTACATTCTCAGAAAAAAAGGTACAAAATCGTTACTGGGGCACTACAGTAAGAGACAAAAGCTAAAAGGTACATCTAAAGGTAAAGGTACATCTTTGTACCTTTATTTACCCCTAAATAGTACCTTTTGAAAGGGTACCCCAAGTGACAGTTCTTTACCTTATTTCTGAGAGTGTAGTATGCTAGTATGTTATTCTGAACGCAGCCCGGGTCATTTCTAGGGTGTACTTCCTCCAGTCTATGAGAATGAAGGGAGCACTTGTGTCCTGATCGTGAGCTGTAATTGGGTGTGTTTTCTGTCTTGTGTTCGGTGTGTGTGTGTGTTTTTTTTGGGTTCAATCAGTGAAAGTCGGGCAGATTTTGAGCAAAGCTATGCAGCGGTCTTCTTTCTCGCAAAGGTGTTTTTTGGCTCGGAGAAACCCAAAGAGTGATTTTTTTTATACGTACAAAGACACAAACAGGTTTGGAATTTAAAAAAAAAAAGGAATAAATATATTTGTAAATGTATAACTTTTGAATGATAAATCAACTTTTTTAGAACAATCTCCATGTAAGCGCTTGTCTGTCGTGTGGTCTGGTTTGTAAAGTGTTTCCGGAGGATTCACTGGAATCGCTGTCTGATTAGAACTGAATGTAAACCATCTGAAAACTCTCCATCCAGACCCAATACATCACAGTGAGGATTGATCCGATCCGGTCTGTAGGAGAGGTACTACAGGTCAACGAGGATAAAAGTTTCATTTGAACAAAGTCATATACAGTGTTTGGTAAGTTACCCTAAAAAGTAATTCATTACTAGTTACAAATGACATCTAAGCAGTGTAATTAGATTACTGTACTAATTACTCTCTCTAAAAAGTATTGCATTACTCATTACTTTCTAAATCCCATGTCAGCCTCGGCCAGCTGAACAATACAAGGATACACTGTAAAAAAAAATCTGTGACATTTACGGTAAAATACCGGCAGCTGTGGTTGCCAGAACTTCATCGTAAAAAATATGGTAGCAACATTTTAGGTTTTACAGATTTAACTTAAATTTACAAAATACCGTATTTCATTAACTGATGTAATGTTAATAAACCATCATATTGAAGTGTTAATATCTGTTTTGAACCATTGTAATGCACTGATAACCACCAAAGACTGGTGGTGATGAGAAAGTCACATGATGAACCAAAGCTCATCACAAACAGCTTTTCTACGAGCTGACGAGGGCAATACTTCTATATAGAAGGTGCACAATGTCATTCACACTAACACTAAACCCCATCATGGTGACATACGTGATACTGAAATAATGCAATAAACATTAATTTAACAACATTAGGTGTAAGATTAAACCCTAATGTACACATCTAATAAGAAAAAACGAAGAAACGTTATTTCAACAACAAAAAAAAAAAAATATGAAGTGTCATGCAAGGAATTCTGGGAGTGTCAATTTACGGTTTTTCACTGTAAATTATACAATGACTTTTTCTATTACATTTATTCACCGTATATAGTATGGAAACTTACTGTTAACCAGTTAACAGGTTTTTACTGTAGCATTTTTACAGTCTTTTACTGTTATAATCACAATCATTTTTTACAGTGTAGACATGAAACTGCTCCTTTAATTCTTTCAAATAAATAATACAAAACTGCATAAATTATGCTTGAACTGACCAAAGAATTTAAAGGGAGAAGGTTACATTAAAAACATACATTTTAACATTAGAAGTTAAATTTTGATGTTAAATCCACTATTGTTTTATATAGAATTGTTCTAGAGTCTTAATGCAATTACATCAGAAGTAACTGTAATTACTGGAAAATTAAGAGTAATCCCTTACTTGACTTTTTTTCAAGAGAAAAGTAATTAAACTACAGTAATTAATTACTTAGTAATGCAACTACAGTAATTAATTACTTAGTAATGCATTACACCCAACACTGGTCATATGAATATTCACCATAGTGACCATTTTTAGTATGCAAATACAGAAATTGCACAAATATGCATAATTCAATAGATGTGACTTAAATTGCACATGAAACAACTTTCAATTTTCAGAATATTTGAACAAAATTCATGCATAAAATGTACATTTGTGCATGTAAATATTCTCGTCCCCTTTTAAAAGCTTGTTAAAATGGCTTTTAAAAAAATCCTCTGACATTTAAATATCACTGAAGCAAAATCTCAATGACATTTTACTCCAAATTACATTAAATGCCACTTTAGAAAATTGCATTTGAAAGCTCCAAACTGATGCTGATGTATATGACAAAGGTGATTTAATAAGGATCAGATGTTTATAATTATTTTGGACGTTTTCATTAATGCCTGTAGTGCTTCTCCTGTCTGACGGCGGATGAATGAAACACGCTGTTATATTAGCAGTGGTTTAAATCTTCCAGACAGCAGCCGCGTTTATAGTATTAATCATCTCTCTTCTGTTGTTCTGTATGTAAAAAACATTTCAATGTCATTTCTTTAGATTCTTTTCTTGCGTTTTACTCACTGTTCTGTAAGCGTCTCATCACATTGTCTTTGTACTGCTCAACTTTTGCCATTTAAACAGTTTTTGCAAGTCTCTCGTCTGTCTTAAATCTGTGCGAGCTGCTGTTGTGAATGCATTTTTTCCTACGGTCATCCACCATTTCTACAAATCCTCTCTGTAAATGTCACCAGTCGCTCAAACGAACACTACTAGTTCCTGTATCACTAGGTCTTCATGCATGTGAGTGGATGTGCACACCTTTCTATGTACGGTACATTTCATTCATAAGACAAAAACAAGTTGTTTGAATAAGATCAATGGACATTTGATAAATTATTTTAATAGAAATATTGAGTATTAAGCAATTTTATCCGAATCCTGTTGGTCTGATTGTTATATAAACAATTCAAAAAGCTATTTTACATGGAATACAAGGGGGGGGGGGGGCTATCCGAGTAAATAATATTGTATAAAGCAAATATTAATGGTTTTCACCAGCCTCATTCGTGCCAAGTTTCCTTCCTGAAATGCACTTTCTGAAAATTAACATTAAAAACATACATATATCTACTCAAACACTTTATCTTTGCAGTAAATCTTAAAAATGGCTGCTAAAAAACAACTTCATATCAACATGAGCCTCACTACATTTAAAGTAAAAATGATACTTAAGTCATGCCGATTAAATGATCTGTTATTACTTTGAATAAAACAGAGAAAAAGTGCCAAATGGACTTAAAGGTAATTATCACACACAGCTAATATATATCGCATTTTGTAATATTCTTCACTTCCAGACACAGACTGCAGACAAAATTGTATGTATCTGTACATTTGTAAGTAATACCGTGGTAAGTAAGTTCGATCCAGTGTGTTTTTAAAACTATTAAATTCTTGTTTTTCCAACAGATTCCTTTAAAATACCAAGTTATATACAAATGTAGACATAAACATACGTCCATGTTTAAAAAGATGTGGAACGCACTGTGATGCATCAGAATAAAAAAATAGAAACGCAAAAGTTTCTCAATCATCAGTTATTCCAGTAATAACCCTGATGAATCGTCGCAGTCCTGCAATAAACATTGAGAAGAGCAAAGCATGTAAACAAATGTGCAACGTGATGATGCTTAATAAAGACAAGGACAAACATGCTTGTGCCAAATATTAATTCTTAAAATATTTATTAATGATTTAATTCATAAAGGGGAGGTCCACTATACATTTCTTTTCTCCAGTGTATAATATAACCACAGCTGAAAAAAGTGTTTCAACCAGCACAGTTCACATGGACATGTGCGAATATGTCAAACGTGCATGCATACGCACACTTATGATATCACATGACTGGGTTGAATTTGGCTCACAGCACAGCCTGGGCTTGTGGTGTGTTTTGGCTTAATGAATTAATACAAATCATGAAAATATTTCTATTGGTGAATCTCACAAAACCACTCAAAAACTAAATTAAATTTTAGATATTAAAAAAATAATAATAAAAAAATGAAACCCGTTTTAGGTTGCTTAATCTTTTTCTTTGTTTTTATGACTGGGTTGAATTTGGCTCACAGCACAGCCTGGGCTTGTGGTGTGTTTTGGCTTAATGAATTAATACAAATCATGAAAATATTTCTATTGGTGAATCTCACAAAACCACTCAAAAACTAAATTAAATTTTAGATATTAAAAAAATAATTTAAAAAAAATGAAACCCGTTTTAGGTTGCTTAATCTTTTTCTTTGTTTTGCATATTTCAATTTTAAAGCATTTATGTATCATAGTACTATTTATTGTAATTAATGCAGCTCTAAATTCATTGCATTACATTAAAAAAAATATCTGCAAAAAATCTTTACATTAACACTATAATGCAAAAAAAAAAAAAAGAAAAGTTAAAATAACTTTTTCTTTCATAATGACTTCAATTCACATAATTAAAAACACCAAATTCATGTATTTACTTAATCTGCAAAAATTTTAAATTTTTACATTAACATTTTAATGCAAAACAAGAACATAAGCCTAAAAAATTATGTGCCTAAAAATTGGCTTCACGTTTATGGAGGAAAAAAATGTAATGACTTTAATGCAGATGCATTTAAAAAAATCTTTTTAATTCTTTGCAAAAAATGCTACATTTTTACATTACAATTTTAATGCCAAAAAAACAATATTAAGGTGCCTAAAAATCAGCTTCATTTCCTTTATGAAAAATATATTTTTCTTTTAAGGTGAATTGGGACATGGTCATGTTTTTGTGAGATTCACCTCCATAGAGACACCAATGGAAGATCACACAGAGTGATGGCAAAGGTATCTGCCATCTGTCAAATGTGGACCTGCCATAAAGACTGTTCGGTAAAAGTGTCAATAGCATATTCAAGAAATGTAAGATTCTGATTCACCCATTTGGCTTAAACACCACATACAAAAACATATTACATTTCATATTAGCAATACACCCTTTGCAACTGTGCATAAACACGGTGATTATGTTTTTAAACCTTGCCTGTATCAGCGTCTTCCTGGTCCAGATGATTGTGCTTCATTCAACCTCATATGGCACAACAACGTCGCTCTTCCATGAGATGTAAATGATGCAATCTTGTTCTTAACATCAGCTTCATTGAATGCATTCACAAACCCAAAGATGCGACTCCAGCGTCGGAAAATGGCTGATACGGAGGAGAACTGTATGGCAACACTGAAGGAGAGGACTGTTCTGAGATTACGGCAGCATCATCCACGCTCATCCTCTTCATCTTCACGGGAAAAACAAAAGCAGAAAAACACGAGCCAGAAGACATCTGTGAATGTCAAAGAAGCTCTGCTGTCCACATCATGAAGACCCGAAGCCTGAACTAATGCGGTGAATCTCATGAAAGCATGCACATCTAAAGGACAAAAAGAAATCACATTTTCCATGAAGAAATGAAGCCTACTTTAAGACTTGTTTTTTTTTATTGACTTTATTTTCATGATGATTAATGCTAATGCTCTTTTTAATGCACATTACTGAAACACATCCAGATGTTTTAATTCTCATTGCTATAATAGTCATTTTTAATGTACTACAGCAAAAAATATCAAATGATACAAAAATGTCTTTAAACAAGCATCAGTTAAATGAAGTACAACAAATACTATCATGATGTATAATTACTTTACAATTTATAAACATCAAATTTCTTGCATTGGCAATGAGAATTTCGGATGAAATGTGCTTGATCCTAAACATAGGCTTCATATTCTTTATGCAAAAATGTAAGAATTTACATTTTTAAATGTGACCTGGAGATGCTTTTTTTGCGAGGTTCACCCAATGAAACAGGCTTGAGAAAAAAAGAAAAAACCCATGATGGATCACTTAATTGATATTATCTAAAAATGAACTAATAAAAACTCAAAGTTGTTGGCATCTGTCTCCTTTTGAGTCCATGGTGAGTAATTGCATGCTTTCATATAATAAAAAAAAGAGGTAAAGAACGCAAAAAGGGGAAAAAAGGCCCAAATTGTTCTTGCAGACAAAAACAATGGCATTCCACAAAAAAAAGAGAGAAAGATAAGCAAAATAAAGACGTAAATAAAAATCACTCCTGAGATGGTGGATAATAGAGATATATAATCACTGTAGAGTATACAGAGAGTAAGCATACAAGAACCTGCATGGTTTGGTGATCACGTCAGGTTGCTGGTCCTTCAATAAAGAAGGAGGATCTTTTATTAAATATCACAAATTCCACATAAAACTCCTCGACTCTGATAAAATCTGTACATTTTCTTTTAAAAAGTCACTGTGGTTTGTCTAGGTCCAAAAAGGACTGCATTTTTCCGCACTGTGTTTTTGTGAAATCTTAAGTGAGATGATCACAGTCCATCTGCGTGTGCAGATCGCCGTGCAGAGGAACATCTGTCCATCCACTAGCAGCATTTTTTTTTTCGTTTGCTATTCTTGCTGAGTTTAATCACATCGTTCTGCTGCTGCTGTTTGGCCACAGACTCTTTCTTTGCCCGGAGCACCAGCTCTGTGATGCAGTTAAACATCTACACAAAGACCAGAAACACACACGGATATGTTATTGCACCCTCCAAAACTGATTCGAATAAATATTAACACACTTCATACAACATATACAGCTATAAAATCTGATTAGATGAGCCGCGTTTGAAGTCGCTGTAAAATAGATGACACACAGAGACATACATCAGGTCATTACAATTTTGTTTTGACTACTTTCAACTAGGGATGTGCACAAGTGATTGATTATTCAAGTGCTCATTCTGTGAAATATGAAATTAAATATTCTAGAGCAGAGCAAAAGTACATTTTAGAGAGTTTTCCAGACCTGGAAGCTGCACACTAGCGAGTTTTAGGTGTTTCACAGCACAATCCAAATGGTCCTAATACAGAGCCCTGAGGAACTCACCTCCTCCACACTGATGTTCTCTTTTGCGCTCGTCTCAAACAGGCTGATTCCCATCTGCTCAGCAAACTTCTGTGCATCATTCGTCTCCACAACCTTAGAGTTTGGATCGTCATTTTTATTGCCCACTTAAGTGAGAAAATGATAGAGATGTAACAGAAATTAATACAGAAGTCACGATTGAATTGACTTAATAAAGTCTACTAATTCATGTACTAAAGTGTTCATATCATGGAAATAATATCACAACCATGGGCTCATTAACATATGACTATCCACAGTGTGAATTACACCACATTTCATATGCAAAGATATTAGCCAATCAAAACAGTGGTCGTTTACAAATAGAACTGGACTTAAAAATACATAAAAAAAAAACAAGATATACATACAAAAATAATATAATATTTAAATAAAATAAAATGTACCATGTAGAGCATTTACTGGAGAACTCACCTAATATTTGACAGACGTCATCGCAGTTCTGGTTTATTTCATGCAGCCATCGCTTGACATTGACAAAGGATTCAGCACTGGTGACATCATACACTACTATGACCCCATGGGTTCCTCTGTAATACCTGAGCATGGAAATAAAGAGTTTTAAAGAGTTCAGCTTTAAATTAACAAGAATTTCTCTCAGCAATCAACAGTGGACAGAGGAATAGCCCTGTGACTAGGGTTGTGCCGATACGACGATAGTATCATGTATCGTCTGTGGCTGATGCCTTTGACGATATCAAGATGATTATTATTATTAGGCTAGTATTATTATCGAATTAATTTTAGGGCATATTTGTCACATCATATTTCTTTACGCATTTTTACAGTGTTGCACGCTATAACCAATCACACACGATTCTGTTGAACTCATGAATGCAATGGCCAATCAGAGACGCTCAGATGAGTCATTGTTGCGCTGCCCTGTGACTAGGGTTGTGCCAATAGACTATAGTATCGTGTATCGTCTGTGGCTGATGCCTTTGACGATATCAAGACAATTATTATTATTAGGCTAGTATTATTATCTAATTAATTTTAGGGCATATTTGTCACATCATATTTCTTTACGCATTTTTACAGTGTTGCACGCTATAACCAATCACACACGATTCTGTTGAACTCATGAATGCAATGGCCAATCAGAGACGCTCAGATGAGTCATTGTTGCGCTCGCTGACTGAATTCTGCTCTCTTGCGAATTCTCTCAACATAAACAAAGTGCAGATGTACGTGCGATGTAAGTATAAGAGATAGCTTCACCGATTAAATTGGGAGTGTTTTTTAAAGTTCATTAACTTATGCTAAATTGAAGTCAGTGATGATGTTCTTTGATAATGTAAATGTTCTTTGCTCGTTTTCTGTAACTGCTGTTTAAATATAGTTGAGGAAATGTAAGCATTATAATTAGTAACTTACAATGTTTTTATTTAAATTGTGATCATGTTCAATACAAATTCAGTCATATTAAAAATATTTTATGATATGACATCCATATGCTACTTGGTTAAAAAGATATAATGTGTAGTTGATAGATTACACTAACATTTGGCTGCTTTTAACCTTACCCTGGAGTTGGTTCACTCTACAGCTATGAAACTAAGCAAGTAAATAATTAAATAAATTAGCACGATGATTTCGTGTGTCGGCGATCTCACAGGCTGATGATAGGACGATAGGACTATGGAGCATATCGCCCAAAACTACCTCTGTCTTTAAAAGCACAGGCCGTCTTCTATCTCCAAACACAGACACAAATTAATTTTAGGGCATATTTGTCACATCATATTTCTTTACGCATTTTTACAGTGTTGCACGCTATAACCAATCACACACGATTCTGTTGAACTCATGAATGCAATGGCCAATCAGAGACGCTCAGATGAGTCATTGTTGCGCTCGCTGACTGAATTCTGCTCTCTTGCGAATTCTCTCAACATAAACAAAGTGCAGATGTACGTGCGATGTAAGTATAAGATTCATTAACTTATGCTAAATTGAAGTCAGTGATGATGTTCTTTGATAATGTAAATGTTCTTTGCTCGTTTTCTGTAACTGCTGTTTAAATATAGTTGAGGAAATGTAAGCATTATAATTAGTAACTTACAATGTTTTTATTTAAATTGTGATCATGTTCAATACAAATTCAGTCATATTAAAAATATTTTATGATATGACATCCATATGCTACTTGGTTAAAAAGGTATAATGTGTAGTTGATAGATTACACTAACATTTGGCTGCTTTTAACCTTACCCTGGAGTTGGTTCACTCTACAGCTATGAAACTAAGCAAGTAAATAATTAAATAAATTAGCACGATGATTTCGTGTGTCGGCGATCTCACAGGCTGATGATAGGACGATAGGACTATGGAGCATATCGCCCAAAACTACCTCTGTCTTTAAAAGCACAGGCCGTCTTCTATCTCCAAACACAGACACAAAGACATTCACACACAAAGAGCTCTTTGAGAGGCCTGGAGTGACCAAACCCTTCTGTCATTGACCGAGCCTGTCACAGTTCTGCAACAGATCAAAACCTCACATAAACATACTTACGCACACTAACGAGACACTAATGAAGCGGCGCACATTCCCTTCTTGTTAGCTACGTAATGACCATCTGGCTTCAGGTCATCGCACACGTAACCATGCCACATTAACACTGGTCCAAAACTTACAAAAAAGTGTCTTTGCAATTTTACAGGCATAAATGTAGTTTGAGCTCTTGAATACTTTAATGTAAGCCATAATGTTGAGGGTTTTTGCAGGTTTTATGAAGTAAATGTAAGACTTAAGACCAAGTAAAGAAAATGTAAGGAATAAATTGAATGTAACAATAGTTTCATGTCAATATGGTCTCTAAACGTAAATGTCGTGTATTATCAATGCTTCAAAGAAAAAAAAAATTGCCTTGAAAAGCTCTCCTTCCAACCACTAGAATACGGAAATAGCTTTTACTGCATCTTCAGATCACACTGCAAAAGTTTGTATTTTTTGCCTTGTTCTCCTGTGAAAATGCCTAAAGTTTCCTAAGTCAAGATACATTTACTTAAGAAGCAAAATAACAAATTAAGTCTTGTTTATGAGAAATCTATGAAAATCAAGTGATTAAAATAAAAGAAAATTGTCAATGGGCTCAAAAAAACCCAACTTAATTTAGTGTTATATATATATATATAAAAATTTTTTTTTATATATATATATATATGATACATTTACTTAAGAAGCAAAATAACAAATTAAGTCTTGTTTATGAGAAATCTATGAAAATCAAGTGATTAAAATAAAAGAAAATTGTCAATGGGCTCAAAAAAACCCAACTTAATTTAGTGTTATATATATATATATATATAAAAAAAAATTTTTTTTATATATATATATATATATATATATATATATATACATACATACATATACATATACATATACACACACACA